TTAGGGCTACAGGAGCTGTGAAGTCTTACTAGTCTTCGCACAGTGTGGGCTTCGGCTTTAGCTCCAAATACCTCGCGCCTGGATCTTATGCGTCACGGCCTCCAGGATCTTGTCCTAAGGGAAAAGGCAAGAAGAGCGACAAGACACCGTCCCACCTCGCTCCCCGGTCTACCCAGAGAACCCAATACCCCNNCCTTAATTAAGGAATATATCTTAAACTATAAGGACCTGTATATTATGATTTAAGGTATATTCCGTATAATTAAGGAGCATTGGATGGTATTGGGTTCTCTGGGCACAACCTCATTGTGTCGAGGTGGGTTTATCTTCGATCCTGCTTTGGAAAGTACCCCTCCAAGAAACTCGTATCTGTGATTGGCTTCCGGGTTCATATATGGTCAGTAGCACAAAGAGACCACAGACAGCCGCCGGAAGCGGGAGGGTGATGCATGGGCCATCCGTAATGTGAGCCACCACTTTCGAACTAACTCCGAGCCTACCAGATCCGCGAAGATTGATAAGGCTTGAGGAGCACGCGCGTACTTCAGGAGAGGATGACAACAGTAAATCTACATGCAGCGTCCTCGAGGTTGCTATCTTGTCAGTGTACCCATAGAGTATCTACCTCGGCCCTGGAGTTGAAGTAGAGGAACCCCTCAAGGCCTAAGTCAATGAGGGTTTAGGGTTTAGGGTGCTATGTAGGTCCATGCAGGTACAGTGACTCTTTCGGTGTATATGGCAAACAAGAGTCGGAGTGGGCCATGACCATGACGGACAGAAAGCTCTCGTCGCGAACGGACCGGCCAACGTCCAGCAACAGGATGTGCATGCCTCGTTACTTCAGTGGCGGAACACCCCTAAACCCTAAACCCTAAACCCTAGATCCCTAATCCCTAAACCCCTAAATCCTACGTCCCTACGTCCCTAAACCCTAAAAATCTCAACCCTAATCCCTAGGCCCTATAGAATCCTATTGTTTTGCAACATCCGAGCCTTGGCCTTTCTTGGTGGTAGGCTTTTGGGGTTTAGGGTTTTGGGCTTTGGGTTTTGGAGTTTTCGGGGTTTAGTTTTTGTTTTATTGAAGGCCCTTTCCGTGCTTCCGCTACGAGGCCCTATTGGGCGGGCTGTGGTCAGTTTAGGGTGTTGAGGTTCCGCTAATGGGTTCTATATAAGAGCATGGTATAAGGGCCTTATCAATTAGAATAGGGTTTGAGGTATATATTATACTATAATTACAATAAGGAACCCTCCAAAACAGTACAGGTAATTACCTAAGGCCCCTTTACCATACCAAGGAAATCAGAGTGTCTACTATAGCTCCCTGCGATGGGAACACTTAAGTTCCTTAACCCTAAACCCTGTAGCGACCCCATAGTAACCTTTATCGAACTGTTAGAGGAACCTTATAACAAGAGCCCAGAACCAGAACCATATAGCAACCCCATAGTAACCTTTATAGAAACCTTAAAGGAACCTTTTTAGCCCAAAACCAGGGGCTGCACAGCCGGTCAAACCGAGAGAGAATGCGACAGCCGAAGCGCGTGCACGCCCTTGCTCGCAGAGATCTGCAACCTGCCAGAAGTCCCAGACCATGCGATTGCGACATCATAGCGTTTTGGACCCTAAACCCTAAACTAGGGTTTAATGTTTAGGCTCCACTTTAAGGTTTAGGGCAGGCAGCTCCGAGGAGATGATCCGGGCGAAAGCTAAAGCCCTGCAGCAAGATGTTGTCAAAATAAACTTTTTGAACTTCGTCAGGGTAGACTCATGGATCATATATATATATTTTTTTTTTCATTGGCCTCCCAGGCGTGGCTGTATGCCGACTTCTTGGAATATGTACGTGTATGTATACATACATCTGTCTATCCATATATATATATATACATATATATATATATGCAATAAGCGTATGCAGCTGTATACTTGCTACTGCTCGGATGGAGGTGCCTTGTTTATGAGGCGTGAGTCGAAGAGATGGCCGGTAAGCTCCAGCGTGCAGCAGGAGGGTGCCGCCGGCAACTCCGCCGCACTCTCCTCCAGGGCTTCTTGTGCCATAAACCGCCGAGACGTCCAGCTATCCTAAATACTGAGTTCCATGGCACTTTGCTCATGCCTAAACCCTAAACCCAACCATAGCTTTACCGAACCGAAAGTTCTTTTTAGGAGGTCTTGATCGGATCGATTGTGGTTCGCCTGCTCACTTCCGGGACCTTTTTGCAAGGACGCTCAGTGAAATTCCAAATTCCCAGACCCGTGAGCCTTAAGCCCTGCAGTGTGAAAAACACCTATCGTCTCCATTGTGGTTAATTAAATGTTTGGGAATACCTTTCAAAAGATCTTGAATGTAAAATTGCTTAAACCGAGAAAAGGAACTGTAATCGAGACGATAGGTGAATAGGTAATCCTTGTAGAAACCCTGGTGGAACTCTTGCAGAAGCCTGTTTTGACCCCTTCCTCCCAGGAGCCTTGCACAACAGTCCTGGGTTTAGGGGTTTCGGAGTTTAGGGTTGGGAAAATCCTTCACGAAGTCGCCCCGGTCAGTAGTTTCCGCCGAGATGCATCCTCGGCAGCTACCACCTTTCCTTGCCTCACATCTCGAAGTTGCTGGATGTAGCGGTACCTTCAGGGTCCGAAATTGCGCGCGAGCCCAGGAGCTACTGGAACTTGGGTTTAAGGGTTCAGGGTTTAGGGTAGGATTTCGGGTTTCAGGCTTAGGGGGCCGCCGCGACGGGCTTCAGGCCAACGACGTGGAGCCGAAAAGGCACGAAGAGCCACCAGTGCTTAGTCTCAACTTCTCAACTGTAAGCCCTGACACAAGTCGTCTGGCCCCATATTTTACGAAAAAGACTGTTAAACATATAGCGTTGACGGGCCTTGACAACAAATCTAGCATGCAGCACGCATCGGGGAGTGGTTGCGGAAGGTTCCACGATGTGCTTGCAAGAACGACAGGTAGCCTAAAACTCTAATTAATTGTCGACAGAACTCTGGGTTGGAGCTTGGGGGACAGCTGAATGTGTGTGTGTGTGTTGGTTTGTGTGTGTGTGTGTGCTTGTTTGTTCGTGTTGGTTGCGTGTCCACGTTTGGGAAGCCGAACAAGGCCCCAAGTCCAAAGCGTGGCGAGCCGCTCCCGTGTCAGTGCTCCGCCCTCCGCGATGATGGCGCCACGGATGGGCATCGGCATTTTGGCAGAGCCTGCGAGCCTCAGGCAGCTCTTCAATTGAGGTGTCATAGGATTTCCAGATTCTTGTTGAGGGTTTACGGCTGAGGGCTTGGCTGCATGGTTTAGGGATTCAATAACCGCCCTCACAGAGGAGGAGTTCATGGTTTTCAGCCTTGGGCGCGTATCTCTCTCTCTCTCTCTCTCTCTCTCTCTCTTTCACTCTCACTCACACATACAGAACCTCAAGAGAAAGACACACTATGCCGCCTGCAGTTCTAAGGCCCGATGCCCTAAATCCTCCGAAACCCTCAGCCTAAATTTTGTAAACCCTAGAACCGGAAACTCCAAACCCTACACCTTCCTGAAACCTAGCTAAACCCTACCCATAGGCTCCATTGTAGTTCCTTCTTGTGGTTTATATACAGAATCCTATAAGGCACTCCCAAAAAGGACCCACAATGGAGCCTAAGGGTAGACCTTTAAAGGCCGGACAGGAGCTGGTCCGTGGAGCCAGGCTCCATAAGTGCCAGCTCCTCGAGATCTTGGCACATGTTGACTGGAGTTGGCTTAATTGCGTTTGGGGTTTGGGGTTTGGGGTTTAGGGTTTGGGGTTTAGGGTTTAGGGTTTGGGGTTTGGGGTTTGGCGTTTAGGGTTTATAGGGTTGGGGTTTAGGGTGACTCACTAGCTTCTTGCGTCTCCGGGTGCAGGGCGGAGGGGGGAGGTGGGGAGTAAGCCATAAGCAAAAAATGATCCGTGCCCCTAAGGGTCCATGTACCTTGGCCCTGAAGTACCCATACAGGAGCTACTTTAAGGGACAAGTATATACTATACGAGCACGTAGACCCTTAGGGCTCATCCCAACCTCCGCCAAGTAGGGCAGGAAGGGCACCAGGCAATCGCCAAAGTGCTCGGAGGACTCGCGGGGAAGTTCCGATGGCAAGTGGTCAACCTCTCGATTGGCGTTTCGGGGCTTCGTATTGAAACCCTAAACCCTGAACCCTAAAATCCCTAAAACCCTAAACCCTGAGCCCTAAACCAAAAACTCTAAACCCGAAACCCTGAACCCTGAACCCTAAACCGAAGATTGAAGGAGTCAGGGCTCGAGGCTTTGAGGTTCAGGGATGGAAGGTTTAGGAGTTTAGGGGTTTCAGGGCACCTCAACCCCTAAACCTTTTTAGGGTTTAGGGTTCTAGAACCCTATAAGCCCTAGACTCTAAACCCAAGTGCTTCGTGGTTTGACAGTTTGAGGCTTCTGGATGAAGGGTGAGGGGCTCCAGCGGCTTCGGCGTGGGGCTGAGGGTTTGGGGTTTAGGGTTTAGGGCCCTAAACCCTAAACCGTTTAGGGAAATCTAGGCTGGGTTGGGGCATCTAACCTCTTGGACCTAGGGCCTATAGGGTTACGGTTTAGGGTTGAGGGTTTAGGATTTAGGGCTGATAGGATTAGGGCGGCTAGGGTTGAAAACAAAACCTATAAACCCTAAAATCCCTATAAACCCGAAAAACCCTATAAACCCTAAAAGCCCTAAAAATCCTCAAAACCCTATAAACCCTACAATCATTAAGTTTCGCCAGGGCGCTGCGTGAAAAAGTACTCCTGGATCATCCTCGGGAGCTCTCGAGAGCTGGGGGAGGGATCGTTGCTTCTCAGGAAGCCCCGCACACTTTACGGAACGTACCCATAGGCTGCATAGTACTTCCTTTCTTCCTTTTTGTGGTTTATATTTGAATCCTATAGGGTAACCCCAAAAAGGAACTACTAAGGAGCCTATTTGTAGGGTTTTGTAGGGTCCTGAATCAGGGATATATCTCACATGCTGAAAATGTACGCTGAATATCCTTAAATCACAATTCAACTGTGGGCTCTCTGGGTGGTTAGCTCACTGGGGTTTGGTGGCTTGCAACACAGATTTTCAACAAAACGGCCACGGACCACCGCTTTAATTTATCACGGCCCGCATAGCCTCCGTTCTCGGCTCAGTTAAATAGTCAACTCTCCCGAACTTAAACCCAAACCCCAAACCCCTAAAAAGCAAAACACCACCTAGACCCTCCATCTAGCCTTTACTAGACCCTTATTTTGGGACCATATACCCCTATTTGAGGGTACAGGGAGGGTCCTGGCACCTAGACCCTAAACTCTTAACCGGCAGAGCAGCCAAACAGTCCGAGAGCTGGCCCGTCATGGCGTTCAGAATGTGGAAGGGTTGCTCAATACTTGCGAACTGTCGCGTGGGCACAGACCTCCAGGGGCTTATCTACATAAGGGTTTAGGGGTTGATAGGGTCTTATGGGTTTGGGGGTTTAGGGGTTTATAGGGTTTAGGGGTCATCTGAGGTTTAAGGGCTTTGGGCGTTTAGGGTTTAGTTTGGTGTTCAGGGTGCGGGGGCTTCCGTTGCTATCGTTTTGCCTGTGGTATCTTTAGATGTCTCCCTTAACCCTAAACCCTAAACCCTATGGCCCCCAGACGAACACTTACTGCCCGAGCCGGTGCCCTAAACCCTAAACCCTAAGCCCTAAACCCCTAAACCCTAAACCCCGAGCCGAGAAGCCCATCTGCATCGCAAGTGATGTCGCAGACGCCTAGCAGCTTGTCCCGACCTCCCTCCACGTGTCGATGCAGATCATCTCTTGTGAACCTTACTCATAGGCCCCTAAGTTGTTCCCTTTTGGGGTTACCTTATAGGATTCTAAATATAAATCATAAAGGAACTACTTAGGGGCCTATGGGTAGATCTGTAAACCCTAAACCCTAGATGGGTGGGAGAGTAGGGTTCCTTGCTTGCGCGCCAGCTCTTAGGAGAACCGAGGCGCTCATCCACAAGAGCCTTTACATGTGATCCCAATGGCGGAGGAATTGTAGGGTAGAGTAGCGTTCATGGAACAGCTGCTATATGATTCCGATGATCGACTGGTATAAGAGGCTCGAAATCCATCCAAGCCGACGTGCATGTCGAAACACAGCAAGGTAAAATCATGACGGTACGTGGGCTGGAATTGCATCCCACAAAGACATACGTATCGATTATGCACTTTACAGGCAGGCACTCCGATAGCAGCTCAGACGCAGCTTGGGAAAGCGTGCGTCCCAGTACATGCCGTTCAAGATCACGGTCGCATAGGGGAGCACGGCATCCTGTCAGGGCTGGGGATAGCCACATGCCGTTTCGCACGTAACGCCATGTGCATGTCGAGCTGGTCTCGTAACTGAATGACTGGGTACTTGTTAAGGGATTGAACTTAAGGTAGCCATAATAAAGCAACCCCATTATTCAACATAGATCGCAATTATGGTAACCTAACTGAAATTCCTTTATAACAAGAATTTAGATGAAGTTGTAAGCTTGACCATCTGGAATCCGGGGCAGACACGTTGTAGACACCGACTGGAGGTCGCCAACCATTGAAACTCTGCATTCGGGACACTTCAGCTTTTCCGGGTCCATGGGGCCTTGACATGGATTCTAAACCGACTCTAGATTTCAAACATCTTCTGAATAACCCCCCCCCCCCTCCCCCACAGTTCGCGTTAAACACGAAATCCCCGCCCCCCATCTCTCCCCCGCTAAGATCACTACATAAACCCTAAACCCTGAACCCGAACGCCCAAACCCGAAAGCCTAAGCTTAAAACTTAAACCCGAAAGCCTAAACCCGAAAGCCTAAACCCGAAAGCCTGAACCCGAAAGCCTAAACCGGAAACTCAGTGGCCTGAAACGTGGGTTGGTAGTTCTCCGGCTGGCTGTAGTAGCCCTCCTTGTCGAAGGCCCCGCCATCCCGACGCTTCACCTAAATGTTTAGGGTTTCGGGGTTTGGGGCTTAGGGGTTTTAGGTTTAATTAGGGCCAAAGTTTAGGGTTTAGGGGCTAATTACACCCAAAGGTTTGGGGTTTAGGGTTCAGGGGTTTAGGGTTTAGGGGTTTTAGGGGTTAGGGGCTATAACTATGATGTTTATAGGCGCAAGGGTCAAGCTTGAAATTACCCCAAAGCATCTGTATATATATATATGTATCTACACATACAAATACATATACATATATGTGTGTGGCCAATCAGGACCTCCAGGACTCTAGGATTCAGGGTTCCAGTGTGTCGAGTGACGTCAGAGACGGCTCTTTCGTTACAGCACCCAGCCGAGCGGACAAAGGGCTCGGGACATCAAGCCCTACCATAAAAAAAATACAAATAGCACTAATAACAATAAAATAGTAGTAATAATAACAACACTAATAATGATAGTAGTAATGTTAACCATAACAGTACTATGAATCAGTAACAATACCAATGCTCATAACAACTCAAGACCTATGGTTGACGGGCTGCAAATCTCTACAGACGGACAGCAGAACAGCAGAAAGAAACGGTGCCATGGGGCTTTCATGATCGATCTGGGGAGCCCAACCCCTTGAAAGATGAAGCTCCGAGAAAAGCGGGTTTTGCGTTTCCTTCTAGCGATGAGATGGAGCCCAGCCGCCATGTGCTCAGCAGTCGCAATGGACAAGTACAGCTTGTGGCAATCCTCACGTTGCATGAGGCCGCTGTCGGCCTTCTCGCAGAGCTGCGGCAGTGTAGATGGGCTGACCAGCTCGTGTGGCAGCAACTTGAAAATCTCCAGGGCGCCCTGGCTAACATTGCCTTGGATCATAGAGCTGTAAGCAAGAGGCAAGCTCCCCATAACCGGACTCCCAAATTTAAAATGTCCTATCCGCAAATCTGAAACCTTCGAGTTTTACCCTAAAGCCGAAACCCTATAAACCTGAAAACCTCAACCCTGGACAAGTGTCCCGTCCCGGTGAAGACGGCAGTGAAGGGGCACAGCGCCTTTGGCAAGCCGTGCTTTCGGATCGCCTTCCGGAGGGGGGGGGGAGGCATGAACCACTGAGGCTCAGAGAGTATTAGTATAGAGTCTTAGGGTTTAGGGTTTAAAGTTTAGGGTGCACTGCATCCGGAATTGCTAAAGTATGGGGTGTGAATTTCACGAGCAGGGGCTTCAGACTTTAGGGGGGAATAGAGCTCAGAGTCTGATAGGCTATAGAGGTTTCTTGGTAAGATAAGGGTATATAGGCTTCAAGAATCGGGGTTCGGTTCTCAGCTATTGTAGGGGTTGAAGCACCGCAGATTCCGAAGGGATTTCCAGAATAGACACACAAACCACCGTTCATCGATACTCGTACCGTTAGAGGAATGATAAAGTTTAAGGTCTTTAGGGCGAAATTGCAGCAAGAAAGACAGGCATTCTGGAAACAGACACACTAACCCACTAATTAACGCCCAAACCCAATCCCCTAAACCCCCCAAAGCATAAACCCTCAACCCTCAACCCTCAACCTATTGGGGCCCAACGCGCCTCACCCGCCAGGGAAACAGCGCGTTTCGCCTCCTCGAGAGTTGGGTACCTGGCGAGAAGTGGGTAGGGGGTCTCTTGGAGGGGTTCAAGATTTGGGCAGTTCCTGCAAGGGTCCTGCAACGGCTTTGTGGGAACCGGGGTTGCAAATCAGGTAACCATAGGGATAACGACTAAAAGCCTCGAGTCGAGCATGATTTCGGGGTCTTTCGGAGTTAGAGAAAATATGGCTCGGGGTTGATAGGGCTTGGGTATTCGGAATTAAGGCTCTGGGCCTAGACTTCAGGGCTTATAAAATAGGAACGCCCCCCCTCCATTGCCGGGACTAAAGACTTTGAGAGGTGCTCTGCTCCCACACAAACAGTCCTTGTGTATGGCTCTTGGTACCCCCGCAACATCTTAGGGGCTGACTATCCTAGCCCCAAAAAAGGTTAACCTTTCAATTATGGTAGGATTATATAAGCCCAAAAGGGTTAAAGGTTACCTACTCAGCTACTAAGAAATTAGCAAGCCCTCAAGTCCTGTCAAGAGGAATACTTCGACCCTTGGGGATGGAGGTCAAGAACCAGGCGGCATGAAGGCTGATCCGATGTGGAGGAGCGGCGTGCTGTAGCCAAGAGAACTCAGCTCGACTTTCAGATGGCAGGTCGGGCTGTTATGTGAGGGCCTTTATCACTGTTAGAATGGGGCTTTGCGATGCTGGGGGCGTGTTTTCAGCATACGGTGCGGAAGTAGGGCCCCAAAAGCATGATAAGATAAGACCCTCAGGGTAAGGACTATAGGACCCGTCTATTGGGACCCGCAGTAAGGTCTCTACAAGAAAGGTCTTCGGATGTCAGGCAGGGCAGCAAAGGGAATGTCTTTGGCTCCGTTCAGGGTTCCTGTCCTAGCGCTTTACTGCATGCCTCGGTCCACACCTACAACTCTCCTCCCTACCCGGCTAAGGCATCGACCCGTCGTTCGTGATGTACGCTGCTACTGCTTCAATTGCTGAAATTTACGACGACGGCTCGTGCGATGAACACTCTCATGCCGGCACGTAGTATGCTGTGATGGCCCTTGAATCTAAGCCGCAGATCAACCGGACACTTGCCAACATTCCTGAGCCCTGGAACGAGAGAAATTCGGCAATAGAACGGGGCTTCAGACTATTCCGTTTCGGGTCTTGTACCGGCATTTCGAAAACTCCCGCCACACGATCCCCAGTGCATCTCCGAGCATAAAACGACCGGCGTCTCTTCGAACCAGTCCACCACCCATGAACGAGTTTTATCAAGCAGGACCCACATCATGACAACCATGATAGAGAAAAACGGTTTGGCTGGTCAGGAAACCGCTTAGGTCGGAGACTGGCAAGAGCAGCCCCTCAATACCTTTGCAAATCTTTCCTCCATCTGACAGCAGTACTTCTAAACCCTAAACCCTAGACCCTAAACCAAACCCTGACCCCTCCGACTTAATCCAGCCGGATCATTGGAGCACTCGCACAGCATAACAAGCCTTCACAATCAAGCAGCTAGCATCGGCGTCAGCTCCCCAGGGTGTAGGGTTCAGGGTTCAGGGTTTAGGGTTTAGGGTTCAGGGTTGAGGGTTTAGGGTGTCTATACCCATAGGCTCCAAAGTTGTTCCTTTTTGTGGTTTATATTTAGGATATTTAGGATCCTATATGGTAATCCCCAGAAGGAACTACTATGGAGCCTATGGGTAAGCCACAAGTCAACCCTAAATGCCCAAACCCTCAACCCTACAAGCGCTAAAACCCTAAACGGGACACTGCGGTCCTCTCCCTGCGCATAACTGCGGCCAAAGAAGCAGAAACCTCTCGCCGAGTCCTCGTAGAAAGTCTATGGCCTCAGATGTCTACTGAGCTTGCCACTGAGTGGAAAAGAAAGCAAGGACTCCAAGAAGCATCTGAACACTAACAAAGGCAAGGTTGGGATGTCCCATCATCCCGTCTCTAAGTAAGCCACTAAAGCAGCCACGGGTGGCTGCAGTTTGGGCTCTTGAAACAGGGAACCTGAGCCTACATGTGTCGGTGAGTCCGTCTCTCTTGAGACACAGAGAAAGGGAGCCCTTCCCCTGGGTTTTCTTAGGGAAATCCATCCCTTGCAGAACCCCTGGTGGAAGTGAGGGAGTTCTTACGAATCCATTATACAGAACCCTCATAGAACCCTTGCGCTGCCTTTGAAGGATCCATCAAAAATAGAACAGCTCCCAAAAAAGCCCTACATCCCTAGCCCTAAACCAATGAAACCTACCCTAAACCCTGAACCCTAAATCCCTAAACCAATGAAACCTAAAGCAACTCAGCCCTATAACCCTAAACCGGGCCGAGCCACTCCGGCGTAGCCGGCAAAGGCGCCAAACGCCACAAGGCGAGGCCCTCCTCGCGCGCCGGTGCCGGTGATGCATTCCTCGGCATTTTTTCCATTGTCATGTATAGATAGAATAAGGTTCCCTTATAAGGGTTCTTTAAAGCGGCCTGTAAAGATTTCTCAGGGTTCGACAAGGGCTCTATGGGGTATAGCAGAGTTTGACGCACACTAAGTCATAGTATTGTAAGTTATTCATGCGTCTACCTACAAGCCCCCTTCCGTGAATCGTTGACATCTGAAAGGAGCCGCGGTTACATGCCCCTAGGCCCTAATCCCTAAACCCCTAAACCCTAAACCCCAAACCCTAAAACTCAGCCGAAGCTGCGTAGTCCAGCAAGCGGACCTTCTTTTGCAAGGCAGCATCCAAGAGAGGCATCCCAGAAGGCTGGGCCTTGATGGTGTGGGAGAAGAAACACCAAGTCCTCCCTGGCAAAAGGAGCTCGGGTGGCACCTGCTTTCCCCCCCCCCATGGTGTAGGATTGTAGGGCTTGTATAAGGTGTAGAGCATGGGTGGAGGGCTTAAAACAATTCTTGGGGGGTGGGCGGGTGTAAGGTTTTCGGTCTCATGTCTCCTCTTTGACGGCCAAGATGGTGGAGCACTCTGAAAGGTCCTCTTTGATCTCGGCCCCCGCTTCGAGGTACTCAACGTCGGTGAAGACACGCCGGGTGCAAGGCTGGACGACGACCTTGAGGCCTTGCTTCACCAGCTCGTCCACATGTCGAGGCGCCAGCGGAGCCCGTCGCTCCCACTTGTTCTTGTCTTCCCTTCGAAGCCCGATGACTGACGCCTTGCCTCGGCTGAGACGGCATGACACCGAGGAAAAGTCGATCTCAAGTTCAAGGACACCCTGAAACCTTCAGTCCCCAACTCCCCCCTAAACTGCCCTAAACCCTAAATCTCTAAACCCCAAAACCCTAAACCCTATCAGCCCCAAAACCCTGAAAAAGGACCCTTGTTGCCCCTGGGCCACCGCCAGTTTGTGCCCGCTTGCCCACCGGCGTATGCGCCCGCACGGAGGTTTCGGCAAGGGAAGACCATGGCCGTTTGCCATGGGCCCTCGCCCAGGGCTCCATCAGCCTCTGGAGCGGCTTCTTTAAAGGGGTCTAGGGGTTTAGGATTTGGGGTTTAAGGTTTAGGAATTTGGGGTTTAGGATTTGGGTTTAGGGCTTAGGGCTTTAATGACAAGGTTTAGGGTTTAGGATTGGGTTTGATTTCGGACATTAATAAAGGGGCCTTCTTAATGAATAGACTTGAGTTTCGGGTGATGTTCTGCTACACTATAGGGGCTTTAATATTAGGGGCCTTGGCAACCAGCATTGGGCTTTGGGGCACATTATACTTATAACTGGTAACCCTAAGGAACAACTTGGATAATTATTCCGCACGTTGAAGGGTTCTGAGGGTTTAAGGTGCCTATAGGGTTGAGGGTTTAGGGTTTCTTTTAGGGTTTAGGCTTTATAGGGTTTAGGGTTTAGGGTCGTAGACTCCACCCTCTGAGTCATCTCAGACCATTACTGCGCACTACTCTAGTTTACTCTGCTCCAGTCGACTCAATATACCATTGTATACGATACCATGCGACACCATACGGTACTATATGGTACTAACTACACAAGACTATACGATACTATACTATACGATTCTATCCTAGGCCCTGACTATGCGATACGGTACTAGACGATATTATGCCGGCTGTACTATACAATACTGTACCGTACCTTACTGTACCGCACTGTACTGTACTGTACTGTACTGTACCGTACTGTACTGTACTGCACTGTACTATGCTTCACCATTCTTCGCGCTGCGATACTACACAACACTGCATCACATGCCACATGACAGTGGATCTTACTTACAAACGACCTGAACATTACAAGTTTTGAATAACGCTTTTGATGCAGCCAAGATACCGACCCAAGCCGAAGAGCCGTCCCATGACCCACGGACACACGCGCGCGTGGGGGAGGGAGGTGTTTAAAGGGACTGATGTCTTCGAGACTTCGCGATTTGTGGTGTAGAGCTGGGGTGACTAGGGTTGACGAAGACCTGTCCAAGCATGGGCCCAAATGACCCGGAAAACACGCAGCAGCGGCCTGGCAATGATAGTTTTGTCTTCTATATGAGCCGAAAATGTTCCAGCATGCCCGATGGCTGTTGTGGCACTTGCTCCGTGTACCGGAACTGTCTGCAAACAGGGACGCCCTTTGTAGCAACACGGCTACGCTGCGACTGCCCAGAATGCTAGAAGTGCATGTTCCTGCTTGTTGGTGGGCAGTTGGGTTTGTGTGGAGCGGGGGGGGGGGTGGCCTACCTGCCGAGCAAAGGCTGCGAGCAGAGGCGGCGCGCGATTGTGCAAGCGCCACAGAGGCTTAGGGGCTGAGTACCCTAGCCCAAAAAAAGCTCAACCGATCAATTATGGTAGGATTATATAATGCTATGTAAGCCCAAAAAGGGTTAAAGGCTACCTACTCAGCTACTAAGGAGGAAGCGGGAGCTTTGGAGCCCGGGATCTCTCGAGCAGTTCCGGCCTACCAGTCTGAACCTGGCTCTCGGATGAGGGTAGTTCTCTAGTCTGCATTAGGGTTTAGGGGTTTAGGGTTTAGGGTCCCTTTTTAGGCCCCGAATATAGTACGGCACCCTTATAAAAAAGGACCCCAAAAGGGACCTTAAGTTCGAGAACTGCCCATGCGTGCTGGGCTACTCGGTCGCTCTACACCTGATGACCGATGCTCTCGATTCTTCCCCGATGAGCCTCGGACGAGAACCAGCCACGCAGCGAATTCTAGGCCCAGCTTTATGAAGCCTGTCTTCAACGTAAGCGGTGTAGGGCTCAGCTATGTCGGAGGACCGAGACATGAACAAGCTAGAAACCGACCCCCGGAAGGGACCCCAGATGATTCACGGCATCCACCTGCCTGCTGCAAGATGACATCCATGACGGCGAAAGTCACCAGAAAGCAGTCCAGCTTCACCCAGTTACCTCAGAAGCATAGATGCCCAACCCTGTTCCCAACTGTATATAAGACCTGGGCATCTTGAAACCTCAAGCTTCCATTCCCGGCCCCGGATTGGATGAGAAAAAATCGTGCTGGCTGTCTCCCTAAACCCCTAAACCTCGAAAGGCCCTAAACGTTAACCCTAAACCCTAAACCCGAAACCTTAACCCTAAACCCTAAACCTTTTATCCCATCTTCAGGCCGCTGACAGCAAGCAGTTTGGGCTGCGAGGTCGAGGACTTGTCAGGAGTCTGCGTTTCACAAATTCGGATTTCGCAGCCTGATCGAAGATTCGTTCAGAAGTTCAGAAATTCGATGTAAGTTATGGTACCAGCACCAGCACCAGCACCATCACGAGTTTTTGCTACTGAGAAGGCTGCAGCTCCTACGACATCTGGTCCTTGATGGTAGTAGAACTACTGGTGGATCAAACGGCTAAGCGGCTAAGCTCTCAGACTGGGATTCACCCGTCCCCTCCCCTCCAACAAACCAGCAAAACAAGCAACAACCCTAAACCCTAAACTCTATAAGCCAAATAAACTATATATGCCCTATAAACCCTATATATATATACACCCTATAAACCCTGTAAACCCTAAACCCTACAAGGCCCAAACCATGTGACACTAAGGTCCACGCTTCGAAGCACGGGCAACCTGCATTGCTTGTCCGACGAAAGGCTCTTGGGTTTTAGGGTCCTAGGGTGTAGTTTAGGGATGGGCCGCGGGCACTTTTGCAGCAAGGCTCCTCAGGGTAGCGTCCGAAGTTCAAGCATGTCTGGGGGACTCTGATGGGAAACAGATTGAGGTGCAGTCTACAGCATTGAAAATTTAAGGGTTGTGGCGAAAGTCAAAAGCTTGCGACTTTCTGGAGTTTGGGGTTGCAGAGAAAACCTCGGGGCAAGCCCGGTGCATCCTCAAATCCGTATCTCAACCCGAATGTTCCAGACCCCATAACTTTCAAGAGCCCAACAGCCTATCCACCGAATCCTGCAACACCTGGTAGCATCACGGGGACCAATTAAAACATACCTCAAGGCCTTGTCTTCGTGTCATTTGGGAACTGTTCTGAGCCTTGCCTGCCGCACATGGCATGTCGTTCTATAAACCCTACCTGGACCCTTAAGAACCTCTTCTTAGGGTCCCTTATGATGATTTCCTTAGATACGTCCCTGAAAAGGTAGTTTCTTTGGGGTCTAGGTAAACCCTAAACCCTCGTTGTATAGGGACGCAAGGGGAGGAGGGCATTTTTGCTGGTTGCTCAGACCTCTGTATGCAGCACGACCCCAAGAGAGGTTCTGCGCTCTAAGACTCTGGGATACCTAAATAGTAGGCTGCTAGCCATATTAAATGAAAGACCCATAGCCCCCATCATTTAGGTACCTGGAGCCCTAGGTGGGTAGCTGAAGAAACTTGCAGAAACTCTACATGGTGACCTCGCAAACAAAGGACCCCAATCTGGACATTACAACCCTAATCAGTAGCTACCTGCCACAGTTACACGAACAAACCTCCCCGAATCATTCGGGCTGCCAACAGACTAACCGAACCCTCTCTAGGGTTTAGGGTTCCTTTTCGAACCAAACCCTAAACCCTATAGACCCTAGACCCTAGACCCTAGACCCTAAACCCTAAACCCTATAGGCCCTAGACCCTGAGCCCTAAACCCTAAACCCTATAGACCCTAGACCCTAAACCCTAAACCACTTAAGCATGGAAGCTCCTTGCCTGAAAACGAAGAAGCGCAGAGATAATTCGGTGACATAGATCACCAGGAAAAACCACTCCAAGTTAGCAATCCATTCAGGAGACCTGGGATCAACCAGCCGGAGGTGGTGATGAGGTAGAGTTCTTCCGTATAGCTGACTTACTGAAGCTGTGAGATGACTGAAGGATGGTCTACACGTGCGTGCCGCGGTCGCGGGTAAGTATGTGTCTCTATCTGTCCATGTCTGTCTACGGGTGTGCATGTGTGTTGGTGTTTCTGAGAGGCTGGAGGATTTACAGCTCCTTGCAGAGATGTGCTCTTGAGCTGGCACAGTGAAGAAACGACACTGCGAGGTTGCACCATTCAAGTGGCTGCATGGCATGCACATGCACTCGCACACAATCTCCGCCAGCCACCACGACCACCACCACCCCCGTCCCCCACTGCCATCAGTGCCGCTGACAGCGAGCAACAACGACGACGACAACTACCACAACGACGACAACAACGATGGCTTCAACCACAACAAAACCGACAACCACGATTATGAACGAACAGAACTACAACGGCATCAACAACGACGACGGCAACGCGCACATTCACTCAAAAATCTAACACGAGAGCATCAACAGCACCCTGAACAGGCTCAACATGAAGATAAAATGAAGGGTTTACCCATGGGCTCCAAAGTAGTTCCTTTGTGTGGTTTATATTTAGGATCCTATAAGGCAATCCCCAAAAGGAACGAAGCCTATGGGTAGGGTCTAGGGTTCTCAAGCCGGGGCGCGGATGACAAATGGTTCCTGGGATACATTTGCTGCAATCCGGATTGCACCCGGCTTGTCTCGGGATTCTGGCCTGCCATGACAAACGACCAAGCATGCAACTACCCTCGACCTGCATCCGGGCGCATTCCTAAATCACTTGGAGTGATCAGGAGATTCAAACGGGCATGCACATTTTTGGCTTGTAGCGTGAGCCCCCCTCCCCCTCCGGTTGATTCACTTATGGGCAACTCTATGTATCTCTCTGTACATATGTGTACGTACACATAAGAAACTTAACTAGCATAAAAATTGAATACATAAGTAAAAAAATATACATGTATGTGTGTATATATATATATGTACATGTGTATTTACATATACATACATATAAAGACCCTGATGGAAGCTAGATTACAAGCTGGCAATGACATGCACCTGGCATGCAGCATGAGAGTTTGCAGAAGTCCGGCTGACCCTATATCGAGCTCGCGCTGCCAAGCATGCAGGAAACACAGGTTTAGGGTCTAGGTCTTAGAGTTTAGGGTCCAGGGTTCCAGGGTTTAGGGAATCTAAGGGTTTAGGGATGCCAAGCATGCAGGCAGCA